GATAATTATTTATTAAAATATTCTGTGAAGGTTGTATGCTCTATTAATTTTACAAGAATATCTTAAAAACATTTTATGTACAATAAAGCACAAAGATTTAAAAATCAATGTTCAAATCCTGTAGTTGTCTAAAATCTGATAGTAAATTGTCTTTGTTTTTGAAAACCTTTTAAAGTTTTATATGTATATGTGTGTATGTATGTATATGTGTGTGTGCATTTATTTATTTATTATTAAAAAAAATAAGCAAACCTTCAGAAAATAATACACCCCTGCACCCAGAATCCAGACCAAAATACAGACCATGAGGAGCATTTCAGAGACTGTCTGTGGGCCCTAACGAAAATAGATGTTCAAGGTGATAGTTTTGTATGTCTTTTTTTAAATCATTTAGAAGTGAAATCATTTAGTTTTTATCCTTTTATGTCTGGATTCTTTTGATCAATATTATATATGTGAGATTCCTCCATGCTGTTGTATGTGGTGATGGTTCCTTCTTGCTCCTGTGTAGTATCCCAACGAACAAACATACCATGCATTATTCGTCAATTCCAAGTAATGATACTGTGATCACTTTTCTACAAGCTTGAGTGTATATACTCACTCATTACTATTGGATATAAGACTAGGAATGGAAGCTTGGGGCCAGCCATACTAGATTCTGCAATACAGTTTTCCAAAGTTGAATGTCAATTCTCACCTACTGTCAACGTGTGAGAGCTGCCGTTTTTCCACATTCACACAAGTAATTGATACTAATATTGTGAATCTTTTTCATTTTAGCTGCTCTTTAGATGAGTTATGGTACCGCATTGTGGTTTTAATTTTTGGTTACCTGAACACTAATAAAGTTGTATAGCCACTTCTGTGAAGTTTTTAAAAATCTGAATGCAGAATGAGAGGCCAGGTGAAGGAGCTATGTTAAGTATTCGATCGTTCACAACTCACACTCTGGTGACATCATTATTGCCATTGAGATCAAATCAGCCTAGAGACACTGCAGCTCTTTTGTGTGAGGAAGAGTTCTTTTTTAAAACATTATGTCCAATAGTGGGGGTAAGTTTATGCAGCAGTAGAATCATAGACATATAGAGACAGATTGTCAAAACTGAAAAGGAATTTAGGGATAATCAAATGTGAGACCCTCTTTTACAGAGGAGGGACTGAGGTCTAGTGAGAAAGAGTGATTTGTTAAACACCACAGAGATTTGGAGTTGCTTTGGGTGCAGGGTTCACAGCATATTTCTGTATACAGTTTTCCAGGGAGGTTAAAAATTGCTGCCTCTGGCTTTACACGGGACCTCCCATGTATTGGGTCATTGAGCTTTGCTACTGTTGTATTCTAACAAACGTAGTCATGCAGCCTATCACCAGCATGTATCTGTCTGTTCACTGTGTTATACATGTGACCAAATCTACCATCACTATGTAATTATTATCTCTAGGGACTACATTGCAAGGCTGAAATAAAGGAATCTTGACCTAGAAAAATGCCTATTATGTTAACCCACTTCACACAGTCATTGATAAGATCATTTTGAATAATAGTATTTTCATCAGTCCCTGATGAATGTGTGAGAACAGTGGGATATAGAGAGACAGTGGAAGGAAATGGTGAGGAATGGAGTAAATGAGCTAGAATAGACCAAAGTCTTTTGATGTTTTCCCTATTTCTGTAGAATCTCAACATGATAGGGTTAGTTCAACCATATTCTCCAAGTTCCTACTTAAGTGATTGTTATGAGAGGTTCGGGGATTCGATCGGAGATGTAAAAGAAACTTTCTACTCCAAACAAATGGACTGAAGGTATATTTTATTATATAGAGGATAGTAAAGGCGATAGTCCGCAAACAGATCCGAATAGGTCAAATAATAAGAGAGAAAAAACACCAGCTCGACTGGAAAGGGAAAACTTCCACATCGGCTGAGATAGCAGCAGATCC